CGGAAGAACTCCACAGTTAAGCGTGCTTGACTTGGAGCAATTATGGGATGGGTGACCTGCTGAGAAGTTTTCCCGGGAAGTGTGCGAGTGAGGACAAAGCACGCTGAAAAGTCTCGTGTCAGTGTGTGGGGACAGTCGTTGATCCTTGCAAGTTGCCGGGCCTTACAAGTGGTATCAGAGCAGGGCCTATCTTCCAGTACGGTGTGGTTCGAGGACGAACCAGGCGGAAGCTGGTGGGCATGTAACATCCCAAGAGCTGGCAAAGGCAGGGAGTGATCGCCAGTGCGAAAGGGCACGGACAATGAGCGGCTCATGCCAAATCTTGCAGCTTGGGGGTTCATGAATGAATCGAATCAACACCCGAAAGAGAGGAATTCCAGAGACTGTGCTGGTATGGGACAGTACAGTTAGGAATGACTTATAAGAATTAATTGGTACTACCTATACTAACAAGATGCATCTACTTTTCGGTAGCTCGGATCGGAAGAACTCCACAGCTAAGCGTGCTTGACTTGGAGCAATTCTAGGATGGGTGACCTCCTGGGAAGTGTGTGAGTGAGGACAAAGCACACTGAAAAGTCTCGTATTAGTGTGTGGGGACAGTCATTGATTCTTGCAAGTGGCCGGGCGTTACATTTTGCCTCTACCAAGTGTTTGAAAAAAATAGTGTACAAGGTTATTTATTTAATTATTAAAATATATACAATTTTTTATAAAATATATACAAATTTATATAATATTCTACCAAGTGTTTAGAATATTTATTTAATTATTTTCTTTATTAATACAGATTTTTCAAATTGATTTTTGAGTTTAAATCACAAATTAAATCTTTATTTTGTTTTTCTTATTAATAATAATTTTTAAATTTTTTTTGGTAATACACTATATAATACAATTATTGCAAATTTGAATTATTTTTGTGAGAGATAAAATATATCAAATGAGATGTCATTGCGTAGATCTCGAAAAGTTATGTGGATTCAAAAAAAGAATTACCTCGTTCAGATACCCGAGTCAAAAGTTATGGCTTTCCAAAATTTTAGAGTTCATAAGTTGACTTTTTTTTGCCACGTGTTAACACCAGATGATTCACGCCTAAATTAGGCGTGAATAGTCACGCCTAATTTGGGCGTGAATAGTCACGCCTAATTTGGGCGTGAATAGTCACGCCTAATTTGGGCGTGAATGACTACAATTAATTATTAAAAGTATAATATTTTAATTTTTTTGCCTAAAGTGGTGGGTGAAGACCTTTTTAATGATTTATACGCAAGAGCCCTTTGAGCTTGAAGCGTGGATATGACACAAGCCCATTATTGATCTGCCTTGTGCTGCACAAACCTATTTTTTGGTTTGTCTTGTGCTATTCTTAATTCCACTTGAAAGTGAGGGGTGATGAGGATCGAACTCGTGACCTCATGATTACTTAAGCGCTCTGATATCATATAAAGAACCATTTCAACCCAAAATCTTAAGGTATTGGATAATTGCCTTTTTAGTGATTTATATTATATTCTCTAAGAGCTTCTACCAACCTAAATGACAATATATTTCTTTCACATTATAGACTAGAATACCCCAACTTCCAATCCATTAAAAAGATAAACCCTTAATTGATGAATAATATTTCAATTTTCGCATCATGTGAAGCTTATCAATTGTCTAAACATGTAAAATTTACTTATTCCCCTCACGGATATTAGATAAAACTCGTCCGTAAAAATAATAAACGATGAAAAGGAAATCGAAGCTAAATACATGTGAACTTGGAAAAATATATAAGTATTTTTAGCTTTGAATTTTAATGTTATGCTGAACAATAGTATTGGATATCGTTCTTCGTTTCAAAAAAAAAAAAAAAGTCTTGCGGTGGGAAGGTGGCATCACTTTAAATAATTGATGATTATAGTCAAGAACAGCTAATATTTCTTCTCTAATGACAAGTTGACAATCCATTCAATAAGTAACAAGAGGTTTTTATTTAATTGTATTAGAATATGTTGGCTTGGCGAAGAAGATATTGCTTCTTAACGTTGGCTAAGATTGCTCAAGAAACCGTGGATCAATTGTTTAGAGGTTGGAGTTAAAGTTCCTAAAAATACAATTTTATTAAAATTTGGTAGCTCATGTGATTTTATTTCGGCTTGAATAAAATTAATTAAATAATCGATAATAATATAAAAAAACAAAAATTGGTGAAGGGGACTCTCTTCATGTTTCGGTAGACGAGATATGGTGGTGCAGGTGTATCGACTCTAACACAAAAATCAATAGATGAATAAGACGAGACATAAATACAAGAAAATAACATGTGCATGATACTAGCTTAGTTGATATATGAGAGCTGAGCAAGCGGGAATGAAAGTATATTAATCCTTTTCAATATAATTTTTGAAAGAGTTTTAAAACATTAATTTTAGACTTGCCCCAAACTTTAAATTAATTCATCTAAAAAGAAGAAAATAATACGTGCCCTGTATTTGAAGTTTTAGGATTTAGAATTTATTGGTTGATAGCTAAACCACATCATCCCTTTAATACACGGAAAAATCTAGTATATTACCGTTGCCTGATGATACGAATTGTATCAGAGAAAGAAGAGGAAGGAGAGATTTTAAGAGAAAGGTAACTCAAGTTTTTATTCAGATGGTTCTTTGCATGTATAGAACAGTATCTATATGTACCCAAATGCTTTATACGAATGCTCCTAACCGACTAACAACCAATGCCACATGTCATCCTATAACTACTCCATGTGTGCTACAATACAGTCACAAGCTAATGAGTTTAACTATTTCATCTACTACTCAGCTACAATTGTAATCTTTCATCCAAGTTGGGCTTTTCTTCTTCCTAATGGGCCTTCCAAGGCTGATGGCATCATGAGTTGGCCCAACCAATGTTGTATCTGTAACAACTACCTCCTTCCCTTGAGAGACCTTGTCCTCAAGGTCTATGCTTGGATAAGCCAAACGCAAATCAGCAGCTGTTTCCCAAGTGGCATCTTCAGGAACAGTCTCTGTCCATTGAACCAAATACTGAACAGTAGCGGGAGTGCCAGAAACCGATTGTGTACGAGAAGCTATAATGGCAAGAGGCATTTGAACTGGCCTATTATCCACACTCATAGCAGGCAGAGGAGTGAAGGGAACATCTGGGTTACGCCGAAAAGGTTTCAAACAGGAGATGTGGAAGGTGGGATGAATTTTGGATGTGGCAGGAAGATCTAGCTGATAAGCAACCGAACTGATCACCTTTTTGACTGTAAAAGGACCATAGTATCTCTTGGCAAGCTTTTGGTGTGACCTTCGAACCACTGAAAGTTGGCGATAAGGTTGTAACTTAACCAAAACCAAATCACCCTCAACAAGAACCAAATCTCGACGGTGCCTATCACTTTGATTCTTCATTCTATTCTGGGCTCTCAGTAAGTGTTCTTTGAGACTAGCTAAGATATCATTTCTTTGGGAAAGAAGTGTATCTAAAGCTTCAATAGTAACTAAGCCCCTCGGGTAATGAGGAATTGAAGGTGCTAACCTGCCATAAACCGCTTGGAATGGGGAGATTCCAATGGAAGAATGAACTGACGAGTTGTAGTGCAACTCTGCCCAACATAAGAAAGAATACCACTTATGTTGTTGTTCAGCACAAAAAGCCCTCAAATATTGCTCCAAGTAACGGTTTGTGACCTCAGTTTGCCCATCGGTTTGTGGGTGATAACTAGAACTGGTTTTGAGTTTAGTACCACTCAAAGAGAACAATTTCTGCCAAAACTTACTTAAAAAAATTGTGTCTCTGTCAGAAATCAAAGACCGAGGAAAACCATGTAATTTTACTATATGATCACAAAAAATTCGAGCCACTATTGCTGCTGTAAATGGTTGGACCAAACCAATAAAATGAGCATACTTTGACAATCGGTCTACCACCACCAAAATTGCAGAATGACCATTGGATACAGGCAGCCCTGTAATGAAATCCAATGTAAGATCCTCAAAAATGGCTTCAGGGATAGGCAAGGGCTGAAGTAAACCCAATGGTGCTGAAGTTGAAGTTTTAACTTGTTGGCAAGTTACATATTGCTGGACAAAAGTAGTTACATCCCTTCTCATATGTTGCCAATAAAAAGAAGCAGAGAGACGCAGAAAGGTGCGAAGAGAACCAGCATGCCCACCCAAAGGAGTAGAATGAGCTTCCTCAATCAATTCTGTTTTCAAACTGGATTGGGATCCCAAATAAAATCTGCCTCGATGATAAAGGATACCATCTTTAACCAAAAATAAAGGGTCAACTAAAACACCAGTAGATAATTTCTGGTGTATAGCAAGTAGGTCCGAATCAGAAAAATTTTCTGATTTAATTCGATCTAGAATGCCAAACTGTGGCTCAGACATTAATGATAAAGAAAAACCAGCCTCAGCAGACTCAAATTGTCTTGAAAGTGCATCAGCAACAATGTTGGAGGAGCCAGGTTTGTATTCAATAGTAAATGAATATCCCAAAAGCTTATGGACATACCTATGCTGCTCTGGAGTCTGTATGGTCTGAGACAATAACTCCCGAATGCTTTGGTGATCAGTTCTTACTATGAAATGGGCTCCAAGGAGATAGTGTCTCCATTTCTTCACTGCCTCAGTGATAGCATACAATTCACGAACGTAAGTGGATGCTTTGGATAAACGAAACCCAAGTTTTTTGCTAAAAAAAGAGATTGGTTTGGAGTGTTGAATCAGAACAGCCCCTATGCCCACAATAGATGCATCAGTTTCGACAATAAATGGGGAAGAGAAATCTGGCAGCCCCAAGATTAGTGTTGAGCTCATAACAATCTTTAACTTGGCAAATGAATCAACTGCTGCAGGTGTCCAAATCAGTTTGTCAGCTTTCAACATTTCAGTCAAAGGTGAAGCAATGTCAGCATATTGCTTTACAAATTTTCTGTAGTAGCTTGTGAGACCCAAAAATCTACGCATTTGTTTGATTGTGGTTAGTTGAGGCTAATCTACCATGGCAGCCACTTTTTGTGGATCAGCCTTCACACCTTCAGCACACACAATATGGCCTAAGTAAGAAATTTCAGCAACACCAAAGGCACACTTGCTCATTTTAACAAAAAAATTATGCTGCAATAAACAATTGAAGGTCAGTTCTAAATGATACAAATGATCAATCATAGAGGGGCTATAGATGAGAATGTCATCAAAAAAAACAATGACAAATCTTCTCAAATAAGGGCGAAAAATCTGGTTCATTGCTGCCTGAAACGTAGCCGGGGCATTTGTCAAACCAAAAGGCATGACAAGGAACTCATAATGTCCCTCATGGGTGCGAAAAGCAGTCTTATGTATGTCTTGAGGAAGCATACAGATCTGGTGATATCCAGCTCTAAGATCCAACTTGCTAAAGACTGAAGCACCAAGTAGTTCATCCAACAACTCATCTATACAGTTATTGCATTCAAGGCTCTGTAATCTATGCACATGCGCCATGAGCCATCTGACTTCTTGACTAATAGTACAGGTGAGGAGAAAGCACTCTTGCTGGGTTGGATAAAACCAGCAGATAACAGATCAGTCACTTGTTTCTCCAATTCTGATTTTTGATGATGAGGAAAACGATAAGGCTTGACATTCACAGGTCTTGCTCCCTCCATCAAGTGAAATGAGTGATCCATACCTCTAAAAGGAGGTAATGACTGAGGAGTCTGGAAAATAGCCATGTACTTGTACAGTACCTCCCATAATTCAGCAGAAAGTGTGTCTTTGAGAGCCTCCAATTCAGGCAGAATCAACTGCTCATTGACATCAGAACCCGAGGATGAAAGGACACAACAGGAGCTCAACTTATGCCTCTTGATACGGGAAAAATCATCTGAGTCCATATTACCTTGCAATTTGATTCGCTGGCCATCCTTCACAAACTCCATGGATTGCTCAACATAATCATGGGTCACTTGGCCTAAACTTTCCAACCAAGACATGCCCAATATAATACTCAAATCATGCAATTCCAGCACCCAAAGATCAACTACAAATGAATGGTTCTGGATAAGTAAAGTGACCTTGCAGCACTTTTTGTCACAGAACAGAAAATCTCCATTTCCCATGAAGACCTCCATTCCCTTCGAATGCAACATAGGAACATTCAGCTGATGAGCTAACTCACGATTTATAAAATTGTGTGAGCTTCCATAATCAACTAGCACACTTTCCTTATGTCCACAGAGCCATGTTTCAAAAATTAAGGCTCTAGGATTAAAAGAACCTGCTAAGGAATGCAGAAGAACCTGCTAAGGAATGCAGAAGAACCTGCTAAGGAATGCAGTGTAGCTGCCAAACTGTCATCCTTAGACTCAGGGGACCACAGAATTTCTTCTTCCGTGTCTTGTTGGTCTTCATCAATTTCACCAATCAACAAAAGCATTTTGGACTTACATCGATGTTTTGAGGTCCATTTTTCGTCACAAGTATAGCAAATTCCAAGTTCTCTTTTTCTTGCAATTTCTTCAGGAGAGAGTTTTTTAATTGGTAAATTTGAGGCAAGAGGTGTAAAAGGTTTGGGTATGTTGGGACTAGGTGTATGCGTATAAGGAGGATTGGGACTAGGTTTAGGGATAGTTGTTGGTGTGGATGATGTAAGGACAAGTTTCTTTGGGTAAGAGGACAGAGAAGAACGCAATTGGTCGTGGTGAGTATCAATGGCATATGCAAGCTGCATGGCATGGTGTAAGGATGTGGGCCATTGGAGTTGAATCGCACTCCTCAGGTTCGGTTGAAGGCCAGAGATGAAAAAACTCATCAAAACATCATCAGAGAAACCAGGGACTTGGTTCAACAGGGCTTCAAAATCCCTAATGTACTCCATTAACGAACCAGATTGGGAAAGTTTGGAACGAGTACCTTTGAGATCTACAAAGGTCGAAGCACCAAAACGTTGACGCAACGCTCGAATGAAATCGTCCCATTGGTGAATCGAACCCGTATTAAACATCCATTGAAACCATGGGGAAGCTTGGCCCTCCATCTTCAACCCAGCAAGCTGCACCTTCATATGCAATGGAACCTGCTGCATCTGGAAGAACATTTCTGCTTTAAAAATCCAATTATTCGGGTCAGACCCATGGAATTGAGGAATCTCCACCTTGACCGACTTCAAGATTCTTTGTTCCGGTGTTTCTGGTACACGAAATTGGGAACCATTTGCGTCAGATACAGAGCTATGGAGTTTGGAACTGGTTGGAGTTGAGGATGGGTTTCGATTCATGAATTCTCGTAATCGGACATCGAGGCTAAGCACCGATTCCGTCAATTGATCAAGTTTCTGAGTCAAATCAGAACGAACAGATTGAATTCCTTCCTGGAACTCGGTACGAAGTTCGTCGGCAACTTCCTGAATCCGCATGGTGATAACGAAGTTCAGATGAAAGCACCAGATGATATGAATTGTATAAGAGAAGAAGAGGAAGGAGAGATTTTAAGAGAAAGGTAACTCAAGTTTTTATTCAGATGGTTCTTTGCATGTACAGAACAGTATCTATATGTACCCAAATGCTTTACATGAATGCTCCTAACCGACTAACAACCAATGCCACATGTCATCCTATAACTACTCCATGTGTGCTACAATACAATCACAAGCTAATGAGTTTAACTATTTCATCTACTACTCAGCTACAATTGTAATCTTTCATCCAAGTTGGGCTTTCCTTCTTCCTAATGGGCCTTCCAAGGCTGATGGCATCATGAGTTGGCCCAACCAATGTTGTATCTGTAACACCTGAGTGTTGAGTGCAACGGTGGTACCAAAAATACTCTCCTAATACACATCTCCAAAACAATTTGGTTAAACATTGAATAATAAAATGCACTTGAATGTCTGATTCATCATTTTTCTCACTTTTGGTAAGTGAGAAAACACCTAACATTGGTTTTTGGTTATATGTCGATTACTCAATTGCCTTTATATATATATATATATATATATATATATATATATATATATATATATATATATATATATATATATATATATATATATATATATATATATATATATATAACAGCATATATAATTATAATTGATATATTACTATTTTTTCACAAAGAAAAGAATAGTAGAACCTAGCTACTGTCAAGTTTCTAAAAAATGTTAAATATTTAATTACAAAATTTAGAAATGGAAACAGATATTTTTAAAAAATTGTAAATATTTTTGTAAGCAAAATGCATTTTTGGCCTTATAGTTAATGTAAACGAAAAATTTAACATCACATGTAAATGAAAAATATCATATAACATCACATGTAGTTTATGAAACAAATATAGAAATTTTAGTTAAATACAGAATTTTTTCTATTTTTAAAAGATAATCATTGCTTCAAATGAGAATAAACTTGTTCCCTTAATTGGTTAAAAATATAAAAAATATATATATACCTATAGTACATATAAATCATCTCCAATGAACTATTTCGAGAACATCTAAAAGAAACACATAATTTAACAAAATCACATATTTAATAATTTTCAATACTTCTCATTATTTAAATATAAATTATGATTAATCAAAAGTTTATCCATAATATAGGTCTAGCCTGAGATTAACCCGCCTAACATGCTTAGTTTGATGGGTTGGGTTATATCTTATATGTTTAAATTTGTCTCCGTCACCACCGGACCAACTTAAATGTGGGACGAGGTGGGACATGTTGATTTTTATTTTTTCTTAAGCTTAAAAGATAGTTTGAGCTAAAATATCTATCTTTTATTATAAGAAAAAATTATGTTATTTTAAAGGGTTCATTTTTTCTGCAGTTACTGCAGATAAGTTATCTGCAGTAAGTCCAATACAACGTTATTTTGGGACGGAAATCATGGTGTTTTTGTTATTTTAATTTATTTCAGGGTTATAATAGTCTTTATATTTATAATTTTTTAAGATTTCAATACTCAAACGACATCGTTTAGGAAATAAATGCAGATAACTTATCTGTATTAACTGCAGAAATATTTTTCTCTATTTTAAATGATATATCTTATATTCTTTCACTATTCTAAAAAGGTGGGATCCATGCATTTAAAATATTTTCTATCCATTTTCTCTCTTATGATTTATCTCTTCTTCTCACTTAAAATAAAATAATTTTGTGTCCTTTAAAATGATATACATTTTTTCCTTTATTATAAACTTTAAGTACTCGGACTCTCACTCAATTCTATTTGCATTATAGGCAGATTGACCCGCTGACCTTCTATAAAACATGGTGCGTTAAGATCTTCAACCCACTTTCGTAAACAAGCCATGACAAATTAGTTCATTTTATGACAGTTGAAAGCAAGTCGGAGCAAAACTAGGCGAATAGCCTTATTTGCCATCCCAACGGCTATAATTAACAAAAGATTGTGTATAATTAAGTGAGTAGTAATAAATTATTAATTGCCATTTTTGTTTTTAACTAACATTTAATCAAGTATGCGTAATTAAGGCTCAATTTGTTTGTATTTTTTTAAATAGTTTTTTAATTTTATAAATGCACAAAAAATTTAAAATAATCATTTATTTAAATAAATGATTAAAACTCAAAAATATTAATTTGTATTTTTTATAAAAGATTATTGTTTCTTATGTCATAGGAGATAATTTTATTTTCTACACATATAAAAGTGTAAGGATCCATATTTTCTTTTTTTCTCTTTTCTCTACACATGACTCCACATGAATTCCACATATTTTAATGTATATGTAAGAGATAATTTTATCTACTATGACATAAGAAACACGGGAACGGATAAAGTTTACAAATCTTACAACCAATTTAATCACTGTTGATTTCTGCCAATTTAACGGTTATAATTTATTGAGATTAATAATATTTATTGAGTCGCACTTATTAATTAATTATTAATTCCCAATAAATTATAATCGTTAGATTAACGAAAATCAACGATAAATAAATTGGTTGTAAGAGTGGTAAATTTTTTTGGGGTAAATATATCTTCCCAAAAAAAATTAATCCTTTTTTTATACGGGAAAAATATTTATCCTTTTAAAGAACATAATCTTATATTCTTTTATTTTTAACATTGTGTACTACAAGTAGTACGTAGTTATAATATGAAAATTATTTTTTTTTCTTCTCTCTTCTCAGTTGTTTCAGCTGACGTGAAAAGAGAAAAAAATAAGTTTTCATATTTAATACATAGGGAAGGATATACTTACCACAAAAAAAGTTTACAACATTTACAACCAACTTAATCACCGTTGATTTCTGTCAATCTAACGATTATAATTTATTGAAAATTATTGGATCGTATTTATTAATAATTATTAATTATCAATAAATTATAACCGTTAAATTAACAGAAATCAATTAGATTGGTTGTAGAGGTTATAAATTTTTTTGATAGTAAATATATCTTGCCCCTTAATGCATATTGTTAGAAACTAAAAAGACACAACTTAGCTAGTTTGGACTTTCTGCTCACTGAGCATCCTCCTCCCGATGTTCAGTTTTTGTATTTGGCTGACCTAGCTTTTGTGAATAGCTATCGGTTGTTGAACATTCGGTAGTTTAGATGTTTATTTTTGTTTCTTGTTGGGCTCCGGCACTCTGATTTATTAAAAAAAAAAAAAAAAAAGACACAACTTATTAAAAAAAAAACATAAATTGTATCTTTTAGAAGGAGATACAGTTAACAGATTTTATAAATTTAAAACAACAACTTCAAAAGTTATTGTAATAATTAACCCACAAAAAATTGCATAAAGTTAAAAACTTAAAACTCATGAAAGTGATCCGTGCCTTTTGTATTCTCATTCGTGCAAACTAATCGACGACACTCACCACCTGAACAATCCCATGAAGGTATCACACATCAAAGCCCTGATTTTCTCTCTCTAAATACCAGACAAACTTCTCTCTCTCTCTCTCTCTTCCAGTGAGCTGAAGCTTGACCCGAAATTCATAGTGTCTCTCTCTAAATACCACAAGATATTTTTTTTTTGAACCCATTAATTTCGATGCTTCAATTTATGTCATATGTTCTCTGGGTTGCTTCATTTGACTGTGTTCTGGTTGAGTTAATTTTATTGATATAAAAAAAAAAATGGAAATTTGGAAGAAGGGAGATGAGTTTTAGTGGTTAAAGGTCGTAGAACTATTGAATGCCATTGATTGATCCTACATGAAATTTTTGTTATATTGATTATTCTTGTTGTAGCTTCCTATGCTGTCCGGATTGCTGCTTTCTTTGCTAGTTTTTTCTTTGGCTAAATTTGTTTTGATTATCAAACAATTCAGATGGTTAAATTGAGTTCTTTTTGGAGGTGATAGAGAGTGGGAGCTTTTGTAAAGCTGCTTAGAGCTTCTTTGCAAACATTTAAGGGTAAGATTGCTTATAAAGATTGCCCTCGCTCTTATCCTTACTAGTCGAGGTTTAATAGAGAGTGTTATTCTTTTGGAGGGGTAAAATTCATGGAACCGTGCTTCCCCATGATTGTGTCTGTATGATTTGGGATTTATTTTGTTCTTTTTTGTTTCTTTGAAATAATTGTTCAACTTGTAATTAAGAGGGGGGAAGCCTTAGTAAAATTGTTCATTTGTGATCAGAAAGTCATAGGTTTTGAATCAAAGAATTATCCTTTTCAAATCCAGAAAAGCCTCTTTGCTAAAAAATGCAAGATAAAGCTGCATACAAAGAACTTGAAAAAGGGTATTCTAATATATTATAGAATTGTAAATAATCTGTACAAAGGGTTCTCTATTTATAGAGAATATTTGACCTACTTTTAACCTAATGGGCTTGGCCCAATACAACAAAGGGCTTGGCCCAATACAACAATAAATGACTAAATAAAAACTAAATAATAACTAAATCAATATTATTTACAACACTCCCCCTCAAGCTGAGGAATAGATATTTATCATTCCCAGCTTGCTAGTAAGTTCTTGAAATCTGTCTGAAGGAAGCCCATTTGTTAATAGATCAGCCAATTGACGCCCAGTGGGAATGTATGGAGTGGTAATCAACCTGCTATCAAGTTTCTCTTTGATGAAATGGCGGTCAACCTCAATATGTTTAGTCCGATCATGTTGAACTGGATTATGAGCTATACAAATAGCGGACTTATTATCACATAGCAGCTTCATAGGTCCCTCACATTTTATTTTGAGATCATCAAGAACAATTTTCAACCACAGTAACTCACAAATGCCTTGAGCCATAGCTCGAAATTCAGCTTCTGCACTTGATCTGGCAACCACATCTTGTTTCTTACTTCTCCATGTCACCAAGTTACCGCAAAGAAACATGCAATAACCAGTGGTAGAACGACGGTCAGTCACGGATCCAGCATAATCAGCATCTGTGTAGACTTCTAAAGATAGATTGCCATCACGTCGGAATAACAATCCTTTACCAGGAGTACCTTTAAGATACTGAAGAATTCTCTCTACTGCCTGCATGTGTTTTTCTTTTGGATCGTGCATAAACTGACTGACAACACTAACAGCATAAGCTAGGTCTGGTCTAGTATGGGCCAGATATATCAATTTCCCAACTAGCCGTTGATATTGTCCTTTATCAACTAGAGGACTCTCTTCTTCATAGCCCATCTTGTAATTCTGCTCAATAGGAGTATTAGAGGGTTTACACCCGAGCTTTCCTGCTTCTTTGAGAAGATCAAGAACATATTTCCTCTGGCTGATAAAAATTCCTTTGCTTGAATGAGCTACTTCTATCCCTAGGAAATATCTCAGTTTCCCAAGGTCTTTGATTTCAAACTCAGAGGCAAGCCGTGTTTGCAGAATCTGTCTTTCCACAAAATCATCACCTGTGATCATAATATCATCAACATATACAAGGAGCACAGTAAGCTTCCCATTTTGGGAGTGCTTGAAGAAAAGAGTGTGATCTCCTTGGCTCTGTCTGTATCCTAAGGTCATCATAACCTTAGTAAATCTTCCAAACCAAGCACGAGGTGACTGCTTCAATCCATACAAGGCCTTTTTTAATCTACAAACTTTATTTTCCCCCTTCACAGAATCAAAACCAGGCGGGATTTCCATGTAGACTTCTTCTTCTAACTCACCATTAAGGAAAACATTTTTCACATCAAATTGATTTATATCCCAATTGTAATGGGCAGCAAGGGATAACAAGATTCTCACTGTATTCATCTTTGCAACTGGAGCAAAGGTTTCTTCATAATCAATGCCATAGGTTTGAGTGTAACCTTTGGCCACTAATCGAGCCTTATATCTCTCAAGAGTGCCATCAGAATTATATTTCAGGGCATAAACCCATCTGCACCCTACTGCTTTCTTTCCGTTGGGTCTATCAATAACCTCCCACGTTTTATTTTTCTCCAAAGCATTCATCTCCTCTTGCATGGCTTGAGCCCAATTCCTATCTTTCAAGGCTTCATGTACTGATTTTGGGATTGCAATAGAATCTAGTGCTGAAACAAAGCTTTTGTGCTGCACAGAAAGATTAGCAGAGGAAACAAAGTGGGAGATAGGGTATTGAGTACAAAAGGGACAGGAGGAACAAGTTTTCTTGTGACAAGATCTTTTTCCTTTTCTAAGAGCAATAGGTAAGTCATCAGAAGTAGAAGCAATGGGTAAGTCATTAGAGATATCAGAAGAAATAGACAAATCATGAGAGGAAATAATATTAGAATCAGAAACAGGAGATTCAGGAGACTCAGAAGAAATAGGAGATTCAGGACTTACCAGTGGTTCAGACGATTGAGGTTGCTGGTGAGACAGTATGGGTTGTATCTCAGGTGTATTTGAAGGTTCTGACACACCAGGAGCAGACACACTAGGAAGAGAGAAGATTGATCCAGACTCAAAGAAGGAAGGGGACGAGTCTTCTGAAGAACTATTCTCCCCCTGACGATGAGGACCCAGGAAATAAGATTCAGATTCTTGAAAGGTGACATCCATAGAAACAAAAAATTTCTGACTTGGTGGATGATAACACTTGTACCCTTTTTTATAAGGGTTATAACCAAGGAAGACACACTTTAGAGCCCTAGGATCCAACTTACTCCGATGTTGTTTATGAACATGGACAAAGGCAACACATCCAAACACTCTTGGTGGAAGGCTCTGCAATATGGGAACAGAAGGAAAGAAGGAAGTCATGGAATGAATAGGACGGATATTGTTAAGGACCCGTGAAGGTAAACGGTTGATCAAAAAAGTTGCAGCTAATACTGCTTCTCCCCAATAAGAACTAGGAACAGATGTCTGAAAAAGTAATGCTCTAGCAACTTCAAGAAGGTGACGATTTTTCCTTTCAGCAACCCAGTTTTGTTGAGGGGTATCAACACATGTGAGCTCATGAATCATACCTCTGTCTGAAATGAATTGTGACAGGCGTTGATTGACGTACTCAGTACCATTATCAGATCTGAGTCTTTTAATACCCTTACCAAACTGAGTCTCAACCATGTGATGAAACCGAATAAATATCTCTGGTACTTCAGACTTGTCTTTCATCAAGTATATCCATGTTATCCGAGTACAATCGTCAATAAAAGAAACAAACCACCTAGCACCTGAAACACTGTGCACTTTAGAAGGGCCCCAAACATCAGAATGGATAAGAGAAAAAGGTTCCCTGCTTTTAATAGTGCTAGAAGGAAATGACACTCGATGGTGTTTTGCAAATTCACAAACATCACAATGGAAGGTCTCAACCGACTTATTGAGAAACAGAGAGGGGAACATAGACTTCAAAAGACTAAATGGTGGATGCCCGAGACGCTTGTGATGGAGCCAAATCATAGACTCTGCAGTAGAAGGATGACGTGTCATTAATAACTGTTTTTTGCTAGCATGGTCTGGAAGGAGATGATACAACCCATCCTGTTCATTAGCAACTCCAATTGTCTTCTTCGTGGTAAGATCCTGAATAAGACAATGAGAAGGAAAAAATGTGATAGAACAATTCAAATCAGTTGTAAGTTTTTGAGTGGTGATAAGATTAGTAGAAAGCTGAGGAACATAAAGAACATTTTTAAGAAACAAGGAAGGTTGAATTTGAATGTTACCAGAACCAATAACTGATTTATGGGATCCATCAGCTACGGATATATTATGACTACCAACAGTAGGATGATAAGAACAAAACAACTCAGTACGACAAGCCATATGATCAGTTGCACCAGAATCCAAAATCCACGAGGTTTTAAAATCAGTGCAAGAAGCAAGAAGAGATATAGAACGTGTGCTCTTACCAGATAAGATCGAAGAACTATCATGCTCGGCCATTCTTTAACAAAAAAGTTAACAACCAGCGATAAAATCAACCAAACAGAATATCAAATGACCTCTGATCAGAAAAATAATTACAGATCCAGACAGAAGAAAAGAAGACGAGAAGAATGGTGGTGGTCCGATCCAAAAAACACGGCCGCACGAGCTGCGCGTGGGATTCACTCGCCGGGAAAGGGGCGGCGCGTGAGAGCGCGTGGATGGGCTTCGCCGGCTGAGATTTTTCTGGTGTGGTCGTCCGGTGAGCGCGCACCTGTCTGTGGGTGGTCGCGGTTGAAAAGTCGCCGGAAAGTGGTCCAAACGGTGAAGACAGATCTGATTGGAGGCGGTCGGAGGTGTTTCGGTCGTTTGTGACGGAGGAACACTGCGTAGAATGATAGATCGGAGGAAAAATAAGGTCAACAATGGTCCCCTTGGTCCAAAAGGTCCCCGAAAAAATTTTCTGGTGGCGGCTAATGGCGGCAAGAGGCAAAGAAATTAGGGTTTTGTTAAAAAAGAAGATAATATGTGCGGAAGCAAAGCCCTCAGATCGAGAGCTCTGATACCAACTTGAAAAAGGGTATTCTAATATATTATAGAATTGTAAATAATCTGTACAAAGGGTTCTCTATTTATAGAGAATATTTGACCTACTTTTAACCTAATGGGCTTGGCCCAATACAACAAAGGGCTTGGCCCAATACAACAATAAATGACTAAATAAAAACTAAATAATAACTAAATCAATATTATTTACAACAAAAGATTTCCCTCAATGTTATCCTTGTAAGTCAGGGGTTATATGGGAGTGATTTTTAATTGTTCAACTCGTAATTCATGTATCTTAAAGGTTGGTTACATTTCTCAAATCTCAGTTTTAGTGGAAAAACATATTTGGTGTGCTTGTCATGAGTTACATAGGATGGGATTTTGGGGTATGGTATGGTGTAGGATACTTAGAATAGTATCGATTTTTTATACCCTTTCTTGATCGAGATATGGTTTTGGCAGCTTTTTTCAGTAACTTTTAATGCGATTTGTGCTTTCTTTCACAAAATGGTTTTGAATGAGAAGTGAATTTTGATTCCAATGGTCACATTCAAGTTCTATGCTAGTGATGTGAGGAATATTATGATTAAATCTATGCTAGTGGTTGCTATTCTTAAGCTAAATGTTTCAAATCATGTACAAATATGTCTTGTGCATTCTTATGCCTCTATTTCTTTAAAAGTGTCATAATGTTGCTTACTGAATGACACAGGTTGTCCCTAAGGCCATAAAAAATCCTTGAAGCACTCTCAGAATAGCATATTATCTGTCAGCATAGTCTTAATGGAGTCTCTAGTTGTTCAACTCCATGAAATCTCAGCTGTCAAATTTGGCAACTTCAAGCTCAAATCTGGCATCTCCTCACCAATATACATAGACCTCCGCCTCGCTATATCTTACCCTTCTGTCCTCCGGCAAATTTCTCAAACTCTAGTTTCTTCTGTGTCTTCCACTTCATTTGACCTTGTCTGTGGTGTCCCTTACACTGCTCTGCCTATTGCCACTTGTGTCTCTGTCACTCAGAACATCCCAATGGTCATGCGCCGCAAGGAAATCAAAGACTATGGCACTTCAAAAGCCATTGAAGGTGATTTCAAGCCTGGCCAAAGATGCTTGATAATTGAGGATCTAGTTACCACTGGTACATCAGTTTTGGAAACTGCTGCACCACTGCGTGCCACAGGGTTGAAGGTCAGTGATGCTGTTGTTTTGATTGATAGAGAGCAAGGTGGGAGGGAGAATTTGGAGAATAATGGAATCAAGCTGCATGCAATTCTTAAATTGACTGAAATGGTGAAAATTTTGAGGGAAAAAGGAAAGCTTGATGAGAAGATGGTTGGAGTTGTTATGAAATTCTTAGAGGAGAATCGGAAGGTTGCTGCTCTGGCAACTGCAGCTAAGGTCAAGGCCTTGTCATTTTTGGAGAGGGCTAAGTTGTCCAAGAATCCAACAGGAAAGAGGTTGTTTGAGATAATGGCTGAGAAGGAGAGTAATCTGTGTTTGGCTGCAGATGTTGGAACTGCAGCTGAATTGCTTGAAATTGCTGACAAGGTGAGAATTTGGAATTTTTACGAAGTAGAAATTTCTTTTATTAGTCCATGCTTTTTGTTTGATCTCTTTTTTATAGTGGATGTGTTAGAGAGGGTCTTAATTTGAAAAATGGATTGGAAATTGAAAGAGCTCTGGATTATAATCATCAATGGGATTCTACTTAGAAGTTTGGTCCTAATAAATGAATTATTTAAACTAATTTGGCTGTTCTTTCCTGTCAGGTTGGGCCAGAGATATGCTTGCTGAAAACTCATGTGGATATTTTACCAGATTTTACTCCTGATTTTGGTTCTAAGCTTCGCTCGGTATAGCTCTAAAAGAAAACTTTTTTTGCCTTCAGTATGGAAGAACAAATTTTTACATCCTGATAATGTTAACATTTGTACACTGGTGTAGATTTGCTAGCATTGAAAACAAAATGCCGATGTCATGACTTTAACCTATTATATGAGTGTTATGTGTTTATGAGCAACACTTTTTCTTAGTTTGAGGTATCTCTTACATTTCTGGTCTAGTTGTCTTTAATGTATGCTTTATTCTGTTGAAGATTGCAGAAAAACATAACTTCTTAATCTTTGAGGACCGTAAATTTGCTGACATTGGTAACACAGTTACCTTGCAGTATGAAGGGTAAGACTGCTCACCTATTTTGGATTCTTTTTCAGTTCCTTTCATTTGTTTCTGTGTTTAATGTGACATCTTTCTGTTATATTATCTGCAGAGGGATCTTTCGTATATTGGATTGGGCTGATATAGTAAATGCTCACATTATCTCTGGTCCTGGAATTGTGGATGGACTGAAATTGAAGGTCTATAATACTAGTCATAATATTATCTTGATTGTAGCCAGACCTAAATTGCTAGCCTAACATGTCTCATGAACCTTACTTAGGGTTTGCCTCGTGGAAGAGGTCTGTTGCTGCTTGCCGAAATGAGTTCGGCTGGTAACCTTGCCAAGGGAGATTATACCACTTCTGCAGTGAAAATTGCAGAGGATCATTCTGACTTTGTGATTGGCTTCATCTCAGTCAATCCAGCATCATGGCTCGGGGCACCCATAAATCCCTCTTTCATTCAGGCAACTCCTGGAGTTCAAATGGTGACCGGTGGTGATGCTTTAGGGCAGCAATATAACACTCCATATTCCGTAAGCTTATGCAAGTTGCCATGCATCTTTTAGTCATATGCATAAATTAATCATATGCATTGTCAATCACCAACTCTCTCAAAAGTTTAAACTCTTGGGTGAAGGACCATGAGTGGCATGCGAGAGCCGTTCGGAATTGGTAAGGGTTTGAACTTTTAATCACTTGGTCAAGGAGACTCTGATACCAAATTAATCACCACCTCTCCAGAAAACTATAGTTGTTGGGCAAAGACTTATGAATGGTTTTATATCTAACATGGGTGGAGTTCTTTACTTTTAACTAGGTTGATCTTTCATAGTTTAAAATAATTTTTGTGGAGGAAAAAATGTAAGGGGAAAGGGTGAGGGAGGGTGAATAGTATGTACTCTTACAAGCAGATAGGATTATACCTCCTACCTACACTGTATTGAACAGGAAAATGAAGCAGAATTCAATTAATAAGTTTTTCACATACTGTCTTGGGAACTATACATCATCAGACTTTATTATTATTATTATTTTTAATTTTTTACATAAAAGTTTAGATTAGTGTAAGGCACACTCCCTTGCAAGGTTAGGGACTACACCAACCTTAATGAGGATTTACGGTGGGATTTCATATCGCCTATCAAAAAGGGAAATCTGAGAATCGAACCCGCGGCTAACATGGCATGTATTTATAGATATTCTAGGACTAATACAATATTACCTTTACTATTGAAGATAAATGAAATGATACTAAATGAATTCTTGGTTTCTTTCCCTAAGTAGGCTAATTTGTTTCTCTAGCTTTCGTATGACAACAACCAACACTTATCCCACTAGGTTTTGGATTCTTATTCTTTGATCTAACTTGTATGTCTGCATTTCAAACCATGTGCGTTTTTAAATAATAGTATTATTATTTATTTACGTTGATTTTTATATCACATCTTTACCTATTGGATAACTCAGTTGTGGTAGAGATGGTACTTCCCCACCCACCCCTTTAATATTCTTGTGTTGAAAATGCTTTAATGCAGTGTTTTTTTCCCTCTTCGTTCTTCTCATTTGTGCTGTTTTGCACTTTTGCATGCTCTTATATTTGAGCTTACTGCTCTTGACAATTCACCAAATGGTTTTCCAGGTTGTCCATGATAGGGGTAGTGACATTATCATAGTGGGGCGTGGCATCATCAAGGCAGCAAATCCGGCTGAAGCAGCTCACGAATACCGCCTTCAAGGATGGAATGCATATTTGGCAAAGTGCAGCTGAGACCTGTATTCCCAGACTAAATGGATGAACCAAAATTTTGTTTTTGTGAGCTATTTAACTTCATTGGAACCTAGAGGAAGCACATGGGAAGTGGCCTATTTGTTTTCTTGGTGAGAGATATTTCATTTGACAGTAGTTCATAAATAACATTCAACATGAATGCAGCACTCAAATTTTATCTTATCTTTTCTTTCTTACTTTTTATTTTATTTTTCCTTTACTTTTTTTTGCTAGGAAATGATTTCAGTTCAACTATCCGGATCTATACCAGAAGGGTTTCATTTTTATGATTTTCCTTAGCAGGTAGTACGTTGAATGATCCATTTCACATTAATGTTTTACATCATTTTCTGTCAGAGGACAAAACTAATGCATAACATTCATTGTAATCAAATAGTTTATTGGTCTACGTTAGATCAATTGCCAAATATTTAACTGATTTGGTGTGTTTTTGAAATATATTACCAGTATGGGGCTTTTTTAACACTGACATTTCATTGCTTAACGTGGACCACAAGATAAGGGTAACCATCACAGCAGAATGAGTGAATTTGGTTATGACTAAACAGTTACAATATATACAGTAAATTGGCAAATATAGCAACTAAGAGAACATAACAAGTATATTACGCGTTCCTGGACAATGCAGCAAAACAAAGAGAGTAATTTTCACGTTCTTAATTGTTGCTTTTGTTCCCCAACATTTTGTCAATTGCTCTCAGTCGTGGACGTTCATAGAACAACATGAATATAAAAGGTGCACGCTAAGGTTCTACACTTCTATTATAAATTATCATATATGATAGGAGGTACACCTTCCTGTTCATGTATTTGATGTAAGGATAAGCAAAGAGAATTTGCCTCCTAAAATACAAAACCCAATACATGACCAGAAGATACATATCATTACAAGAAATGAGGTTGCACTACAAACTATTCAATCTAATACAATTGCTAGTTGAAGAGAGGACATCATCTCACTCCAGTCACTGCTCTTTCCAAATCCTACCAGTAACCCTTAGCTTCAATTCCTTCCGATCACCCCCTGAAAAGAAGAGAGCCATATTCCTCTGAATGATGAGGCCATCAAAACTGTCCCGGACCTTCCGGTGGCTGTCCCTAATGCTTCTAGGCACCCCCTGCCAAATCATCTTCCTCCCACTTCCACCTACCTCTAGACTGTAGCTATAATTCTTTGCCTCATTATCATCTCCCATAAACCGCAAAAAGGCTAAGTAGACAGGAGCGATTCCTAGCTGAAAAGCTTCGAAATGTAGACAAAAATACTGACCAAAGCAACTGAAAACCTAGAAACACCAATGTGAAATCCATAAATCAGCTAAAACCCAGATTATGTAGAATAAAAAATTAAGTCAATATAAAATAACAAATTCCAGCGCACAGAACTCCCCAACTTTCGTGGGTACGGGTCGATTATACGCAACCTTACCCTTGCATTTTTACAAAGAGGTTGTTTTCTAAAATCGAATTCATGACTTTCTCGTCACAAGGAGCAACCTTACCATTTCACCAAGGCTCGCCCTCTAAAAATTAAGTGCATATATAAGGCCCTCATAAAGAAACCTAGGAGAGGCAAAGGCAATGTTATAAATTAATAGTTCCTTCATAACAACTTGAAAAAAAAAAAAAAAAAAAAAACTCACAGTTTTCGAGATGTTATGGTATTGGCAATCTTGGATTTTTCTTGTTTGAAGCAAGAAAATTTACAAGGTTAACTAGTTTGCTTAAATTCTATATTCTCATCAACTGGTGAAGACAGACACATGTACATCCAAACATGACCCAAAATTACACAATCTACCAATGGGTTAATGAATTTGCTGAGTCAATAGAAAGCAGGGAGAAGGAAGTTCAGCAAAACAATACCGTTAACATCCATGTGGCATTTTCAACTTCTTGTGGATTTGATTTGACGTAACGATGGTTAAAAGTGCTACCATTGTGCATGTCCACTTTGTGGTCGTCTTTCAGATGGGCCACCAGGTAGGGTATATCACCCATAACAGAGCATTCTGAACCAGCATATGGGCAGTTATAAGGTCTATATGCACATTGAGATTCATGCTTTAGCTTGCTGTAATATGGATATATACCCATGCACCCAAAACCTTGATATTTACAGGGAAGTTCCAAAGACGCGGCCACCTTCTCCAGTGCCAGACATCTGATATTGCCAAGCTCATGCCTACATGTAGGGCACCGGTTATGGACCCTGGGTTTGCAACCTGAGCATATAGTGTGACCATTGGAACACTGCAATAACCACAGAGGAAAAAAAGTTAATTAGATTTCCAAATATAATTTTGTCATTAGAGGATATTCAGCTTAAATCAAAAGTAAAACCGCCAATAATCATATTAACTCCAAAAATTACATATAGCAAATGTGATTGAGTTCTTGCTAGCAAAACATCTAATATTCTCAGAATAGATTAGCTAGGTGAGACATCCAAGAATTACTTTTGATGAGGAAACTAACACCTTCACACTCAGCTTTTGCTTATGACATGCCTCACAGATCATTGTTTTAGTTTAGCTTACTATGAGAGTGTGATACAACCCTTTCTAATATGAGGGTGTACAATAGATAACTACTCAGGGGATCAGCTACTCAAAGTCTGTTATTGCTGACTCAGCACAAGGGTGAATCACATTTTTGTTACAAAAGGTAAGCGTGGATTGTGTTAGTGAGCAAAAAGATACGGTTATATGGGAGTGGGGCAGTATTGTTGGATCATCTTTGGGCATTTTGGAACCTTGGGCACCTTAGGGTGATTTGGTAGAGACTAGGGTCTTTAGAATTCCTATAATTTTAGATTATTCTTTGTAATTGTCTTTGTTTTAGGATTGTACTTATCTCTTGATGAATATATGAAAATCTGATTATTCAGGCCAAAGTCCTTGTTCTTTGTGTTAGTTCTGTATTTGATTGGTTGGATCTTATCAGAATGACAATTCAGTTTCGGTTTTTCCTGTTCTCCAATCTTGTCAAAGAGCAGCTAAACCATTCCATGAAACCAGTACCTTAGGTAAATTGCAATTTTTCACACTAATACATTAATCAAATTTCACTTTGATCACCCCAGTATATTTTATTTTTTTGGTAGTAAAAAGTTTAAGCGGGGTTAGACGGATCACCCAGTACTTTTATGTTACAATTATATGCTTTCTCAAGAACCCAAAAAATCAACAATAAACCATCATCAATACATAAATAACCTGGTGGATTGGAGGGTACATGGCACTCAGGCATACAGGGCACTCTAAAAGCTCACGAACACTGCTCGAAACGGTCCCATTAGGCTTAAGAGCAGTTTGTGCAGGATCATTCACTGACTCACTAACATCTGTTGAATCTTCATTTTGGGGAGGATCAACATCAGCTTTGCTCCTTATATCGTCAAAGAATGGATTGCTCAATGCCATGCTAGTAAAAGCAATCACCAGCACTCCACCAGCCCTGCGAGTGGGGAAAAAATCATTCAACCAGGAAGGTAGGAAAAATTCAATACATAGCAATTCTCTTTTACTTTAATCATAGAGGTAACATAGCAGAATTAGTAAGGTATTACATCCACATCTCCAGCTCTTTTCTTCCACAAAAACAAATTACTTCTATGGAAAGTATCACAAATCCTGATTTGTAGAACAGATAAATGACAGGTTCTCAAACTACAATTTCAGGTCAAATTTGTATGAATATTAAGAAACAAAAAATTAAGAAAAACAAACAAAAATAAGGTTAGAAATGCATTTAATTGTACAAGGCCTGAGTAGCTTACATAACTCCTTCTAAGATGAAGTTACTGAGATTTAAGAATGTTTTTGAAAATATGGTTTAATCAGGGACCATTATACCATAGCTATATTAGATTGTCCTCTGTGCATAAGAGCAAGAGGAACAATATAAATTTGTCAAAATGAAATTACAGGCGCCATCTGCCGAAATCACCAAAAGAAAATTGCCTTTGATAAAGATAGTAGAGCTCAAAACTAGTGATCAAAAGAAATGACAACTAAAATTTGATTTGATTGCTCAACACATGCATAAGATAATAATCAGAGACACGTATTTTCGGCATTGACAATTTCGCATGCCACTCCTTAATCCAAGACACCCAATAGACCAAGCAGAAAAAGGGAACCTCAGCTTTCAAAAATAGATCAGACACAAACCTTAAACAGAAAAACTGTTCCATCCTTTCAACACATATGCCAGGTAATATAAAACCTAACCTCAAGCAACAAACGACATAATATTTCAAACCAAACCCACCATAGATCTACAACAAACACAATCAAAAACCCAAAAAGAACACTACCACGCAAAAATCAAACTTTAATAACCCCATTAACTAAAAAAGGTAAAGAAGAGAACCCCAGAAGCAGAAAAACTAAAATCAAGTTGAAGAGAAAGAAAAAAAAAAATACCTGGAATGAGGGAATGATCAAAGGGCATTAGAGAGAAGAATAAAATGAACGAAAACCCACACACACACAGAGAGAGAGAGAGAGAGAGATAAAGAAGGTTTTGGTTGGTTTACAACAAACTATAATTAATGAAAAGTGCGCGTCTTCGAGTGAATCAAGAATTTCAAATTAAAGACTGAGAAAGAGAGAAAGGAGCGTAATTTCGAAGGAGAAGAGAGAGACAGAAATTTCTCGTAAAATACAAAATAGAAAGGAAAAGGCTTTAAAAAATGTAGGACCCAACACAATGACTTCCTCTTTCACCTTTTCTTCTCAGTTTTCTGTTTAAGTTTAAACTAGTGCTTGTGTCTTTGACTCTCTCTTTGACACATTATTTTATTTTTTACGTGGGATAAGATACCGTCACACATTACGACCACATCTTAATCGTTGATTTTCGTCAATCAACGGTTACCATTTTTCAAATCAAATTTATTAATTAATTATTAATTTGTAATAAATGATAACTGTTGATTGACGAAAATCAACGATTAAGATGTGGTCGTAACATTGTGCCTAACATTATTTGTGTCTCACAATATCCTATCCCTTTATTCCAAACTTATGTTAATTTAATAAAACTTATCATATTTATTTTGTTTGTTTTAAATTCTTCATTGTTCAAGTTTAATTATATTACTGTTTAATTGTGCATGATAACGTTGACAAAAATATTTGTGAAGATTGGGATCAAACTTTACAATTTACTCCTCCATTCTATAACTTTTGAAATTGATAAGAAGGTATATTGTTTGTGTTGGCCAAGTGGAAGCATGCTTGGTCCCCGTAAGGTGGAGGACTCAAGTTTTACACCCGGGAAGCACATCTGTTGGGAGAGAGAGTACCCTTGTTGCTCTCAGTCCCAGGCCGGATTAGTCCTAAAGGATCTACCTGTTAGTAGAAATACTAAAAAAAAAAAGTGTTAATCAATTAAGGAAGGGAGAAGTGTTTATCTTGTTAAATGACACAACTTATATCATTTCACTCTCATAAAGTGGTGGGATCCACATCTTTATTTTATTTTTTTATCAATTCTCTCACCTCCTTTATCTATCTCTTCCTCACTCTTAAAATAACAAACTTTACCTCCTTTAAAATGATTAACATTTTTTCCATCAATTAACCTAAACGTTAAAGAGGGATAAGTCATGAAAGATTGTTATCTGTTGGGAGAGGGAGTACCCTTGTTGCTCTCAGTCCCCAGCCGGATTAGTCCTAAAGGATGAACCGGTTAGTAGAAATACTAAAAAAAAAAAGTGTTAATCAATTAAGGAAGGGAGAAGTGTTTATCTTGTTAAATGACACAACTTATATCATTTCACTCTTATAAAGTGGTGGGACCCACATCTTTATTTTATTTTTTTTGTCAATTCTCTCGCCTCCTTTATCTATCTCTTCCTCACTCTTAAAATGACACAATTTTATATCCTTTAAAATGATACACATTTTTTCCATCAATTAACCTAAACGTTTAAAGAGGGATAAGTCATGAAAGATTGTTAAATAAGGCTTTTTGATTGATTTCAAGTATGAAAAATGATCGACTTAATTTCTACTGAATCGGCCATGATAAGAAATAACACAATTCCTGCTGTAAAATGAAAGAGATGGCTGCTTCCGTGAGCTTATTTTGGATAATTGATGAGGGAAAAATCAGGAGACAATTGTATTGAAACTAATAAAGGTTTAAAATTTTATCTTTTATACATACTTTCAATTGTGTGGGTTTTATTTTTTCTCTTGTCATCATATACTTTAAGGTAAATGATTTCTTCAGTCAATGGAGATAAATTATCTCTAGTGAGCCCAAAATGACATCTTTTTGAGGCGAAAATCAAAGTATTTTTGTAATTATAATATATTGCAGGATTATTTTAGTCTTTATCATTATAATTTTTTAATTTTATATCCCAAAACGATATCGTTTTGAGCTCACTGGAGAAATACTTTTTCAATACTTTTATATAGATTTTATATATTTTTATGTGTATGGAAAATAATTTTACCTTCTATAATATTTATAATTTTAAGGGTTCGCTTTTTCTACAGTCTATGTAGATAACTTATCAACAGTGAGCCCAAAACGATGTCGTTTTGAGGCGAAAATTAAGGTATTTTTATAATTATATTTTATTTCAGGGTTATAATAGTCTTTTGCATTATAATTTTTTTAATTTTTCAACTCAAAACGACATCATTTTAGAAGTGAATGTAAATAACTTATCTACGTTCACTTTAGAAACATTAAAGCCTAATTTTAAACCGTAAAACTAATGTTGGAAAATGGAAACAATAATTAAAAATTGAGGTTTTAACTTCTCCTTTTGCAAGAGATGTTCAATTTTGCAGCCGAGAAAGAAAGATGGTCGAGCCCACCTTGCAAAAAAAAAACATAAAAAAACAAAAAATGTGCCAAAATCCAAGTGAGAATGATTAGAGAAGAGTAATTTGATAACAATAATGAAATAATTTTGCCTTATAGATTTCGTTCATACTCAGTGGCGGGAAGCGAAGTTTAACTTCGAGGAAATTGAGGTACTTTCTAAAAAAAGAGCTTGAAGTTTAAGGAGCAACAAACAAAATAATGGCACCAAAGTAATACAAATGGTAATAAGAATAAGACGGAAAGTCCAGCTCAATCAACGTTAACGTCAGTATTATCTTTATCTTAAATTGAGATAAAACAAAATAAAAAAATAGTATAATTCCCTCAATAAAAAAAATAATAAGAAAACATGATACTTGATTAGAGGTGATAATTTTCATTTTTCAATGCACCGAATTTTCCCACTGAATCCACCTTTATTTATTAATTTGAAGTTATTTTAATAATTTTCATTCAAAAAATAAAATTACTTTATTATTCATTTCACGTCAACGTGTGATAAACGGAACATAATACCGAGAGTTTTGACATAAATAATTATATATCTCAGGTTCATGTTAAGAAAATTCATATTCATGAGAAATTCATAAACACAATTCCCAATCCGAATTATGTCCCTAAATTTGACGGTGAAATAATTAAATCCACTATAATTAAAAGCTGTATACATTCACCAAATTTCAGCTGTCAATGGTTACAAAAAAAGCCCAACAACGTAAACAAACAATAATTAGCTTGTGAAACATGAAGAGAAAATTATGAAAACTCCTCTAAAATTATAGCAGCATCTACGTCAACAATTATTTTGGAATTTGGAGAATTTTTTTCCACGTTTAGATTAAAAGACTGAATGTCCTAAACATACTGGTTCAAATTTCAGCAGTAAGAAAAATGACAGCAAGGGGACTGTAACTTTTGTTCACATAAGAAAAGAGTCATCCCAGCACTTTAAAAAAGACACATTCCTTTAATTAATAAAAAAAATGCTATAAACATAACGTTAACTTAAGCCTACAAAATCGGTTCATGTTACAACAATTATAATCGAACCGAATAAGGAGCATATAATGCAATAAATTGCTATCAGTAGTTAATAGATTGGCTAAAGTCATAGTGAAACCAAGCCAAGGAACAGTGACCGTACTGCCTGGCAAATTTTTTTATCATAATATCACCACGTCAACAGTACATTTTGCCAAAATGTCACGTGGACTATTTCGCTACACAGTGTAACGAAATATGTGTGCAAATATTTCGCTACAGGGTGCAGCGAAATATACCACGTCAGAATGCCCTGTCACCAAGAATGATATGTGTCAATCAGGGAGTATTTCGCTACACAGTGTAGCGAAATACTTGGTCAAAGAGTCAGTCATGTCAAGTCCATGTCAGGACACGTGTCAAGCAGAGAGTATTTCCCTACACAGTGTAGCGAAATACGTGGTCAAAGAGTCAGTCATGTCAAGTCTGTTATGCCACGTGTCAATACCCCAATTAATTCGCTGGGGTACATAGCGAATTATTTCCAGATTTCGCAATGACACATAGCGAAATATGGACTTTTCTGACACGCCAAAGCCAAGTGTCATCTCTCCACAAATTCGCTGGGGAGTTTAGCGAATTATGTCATAATTTGCTAGTTCACCTAGCGAATTATGTACTATAAATCACACGGCCATTCCATTTTTGGTATGAACCACCAAGTGCGAAAAACAGTCATTATATACACCTTTTTACTACTTTTGTGTTATCTGCTTGAATGTTTGTTTTTCTTTCTTCTTTTGTACAATGAGTGAGAGTAGGAATAATTTAATCGCCACCGTTTATTATAATGGGAGAAAATATATGGGAGCGAACGGTCAAGTTCTTGAAGGTGATGCAAAAATATTTCGCATGACCCCCACGTGCAATCTTGATGAGCTGAAGAAAATAATATACAAGAAGTTGAGATTACAACACGGTGAAACTTAAGCTCGATTGACTGCTAGATGTGCGTCGGGTAACCCCGTGCAGTGGGTTGGTGTGGAAATTGTTGAAGATGAAGATGTAGCGTTAGTGATAGATGCAACCACTTCCGAATCTGGGGGGTCAAGGTTGATTGAACTGTATGCAGAAGTCAACTACGGTGGACAATCAAGCAGTCAAATTTCTGCACCATCCACTGATGCCATCGGAGCAAACATGGAGCCAGAGGTCAATCCGGAAGATGTGGACGCGTCACCCCTGCTTGCACCACCAACTCAGCAAATTTGAGATGAAATCGTGCCGGCCCACGACATGTGGGATCCATCGTGGCGTACAGATAGTTCCGAAGAAGAGGTTGACGAAGGTCTAGTTCTAGACAGCGAATCATCAGATACGGATGTCGATGGTGATTTTGATCGTTGTCCGTCTACTGCAGTTGGTCAACCAATTCCATCTCCAGGCATTGTCGGAACGCATGACCCGCCAGTTGCTGGTACGTATGTATTAATGCTATATTATTGCTGTTGAAAATTATATTAAACTACACAAGGAGGGTGAATGTTATGTTATTATGCAGGATCTGAAAATGTACCCTTTTGGGCGGGAATACCCCATTTCACGAATGTTAATTGGGAATACTCAGATCAAGAGTTGGATGACATGCAGGGAGCACAAATACCGAACTGGGAGATGGGCCACGAGTTATATAATTACGGCCCAGGGTCAATCACGCTACGTGGAGACCCTGGTCGATGTGCATCATCTTGGTCCATAGATCCATGTATCTGGATAAGTAATT